GGGGTAGCCAGGCTCCAGCAGCAGCCCCGAGGACAGCTGGGTGGTTTTGCCCTCTAAAGATCTCGAAAAACCTGCTGGATCAGGAGGGAGGATGCTTCAGGACAGAAAGGGAGGCAGGAGAGTGCTAGCACTTGGTGCAGCAAGTAGGGTGACAGGTGTAGGTTCCACCTATGCTGAACTGCCTTTTCGCTTCATAGAATCAACCAGGTTGGAAAAGACCTTTAAGACCATCCAGTCGAACCATTCCCCAGCACTGCCAAGGCCAGCACTGAGCACCTCATCTACACAGTGTGTGAACACTTGCAGGAACGGTGACTCCAGCACTGCCCTGGGCAGCCTGTTCCAATGCCAGAGCACCCTTTGGGGAAGGAATTGTTCCTCATCTCCAGCCCAACTCCTCTCTCTCAGGCGCAGCTTGAGGCCATTTCCTCTTGTCCTATTACTTATTGCTTAGAAAAGACTAGCCACCTCCTCGCTCCTTTCACATAGTTCATAAGGTGATACAGGCCACTAATAAAGGGAGTTTTGTGTTAGATCTAATAAATCAGTAGATACACACAATTATGTTACATATTATAGCCTAGGAAGCAAAAGACTGTGGCTACAAGGCTACAAAGACTTAATACAGGGTTACTAAGAGCCATCTAGTTTGCAGATAGGACTGTTGAGGGTTAAGCAGCAGCCTAGCACGAGCCTCAGCAGAACTGCAGGTCTTTAAGCTGTGCCTTCAGACAAGCTGCCAAGGGACAAGTCATGGAAGAAGCTTCTGTAGCTTGGCAACCTTCCTGCCGCAGTCCGAGAATGGTTCCAATAACCATTGCTAATAACAAGATAGAGCTTGTGGATCTACTGGCCCACAGAGCCCTTGCCAATTTGGTGTTTAGGGACCAAGAGGTGACGAAAGATACCTGGTACCTTTCTCAGACGCTTTTCCAGTTCCTGACATGATTTCAGCCAAAGATTTGCTACACCCAAGGTTTGTGTATGTGATAACCCCCAGCTGCTCGCTCAATCTCCACTTGGACACATTCACATTTCCTGAACCCACAGGTCTGCAACCCTGCTCCTGAGAACATGGGCTTCAGGTGCTTCAACAGAGACTTTGGCTACAACCTTCCTAAGCCTTAAGACTTCAAGAAAGCTCTTTTCATTCCCTGCCTCTTCCAACTAAGTGCTGTACAAGACAGAGTAGCATCACTCAATAACGAGATGCATCACATCAGCAGGTAAACTCCCCAATTACCTAGCAGCCAGATTAACAACTAATGGAGAAGAGAGGCAAACACCCGCTTATCATTCAGATGTTTCTGAAGCATGTAACAGTCTTTGTGATGCTGGAGTAGCAGGATGCCAGCTTTGACTCAGCATAACTTCTCTTCTAAGGGAACCAATAACAGTTATGGAAAACTAGAAGCAAGAGTTCTTAAAAACAGTTAAGTGCCTGAATTTCTTTTGCAAATCCTAACTAGATTATAAACAAAAGGCCACTTGGTCAGTAAGCATCATTAGCATGGGGTTAAGTCATCATCAGTGTGAGACAAACCTGTTCTTAAGACAGATTTTGATGCATTTCAACTAATATTTGGATCATTCACACTTAATGACATATAAATGGAGAGCAAGGGGGCAAGCAGGAAGACATGTTGGCAGGCACTCTTAGCATTTACTTGAAAATTTGGTTATGAGGAAGAAGATCTAAGCTGGAGCATACTGAAATTGACATCAGAACCTGAGGCTCGGAGACTGAAAGCATGTGAGAAGCATGGCCAGAAACTAGAGGATAAGAAGCAGGATCTTGGGACCAGTACAGAAATGCCCAGCAAAGGTTGCAGAAAGTACCCACTGGGAACCCAACTGTGTGAAAGGTGGCTTTATTCTGACCACGATGGCACAAAACCATGCTCCAGGTACCAAACCCACAGTCGCTCCTAACGGTGCTTCCCAGTGCGATTGAAACGCTTGTACAAGTACCGGATCCTCTTGGTGAGTTTGTGGTAGTCCTCTATAAACATCCGATCTCCCACCATCTTCTTCTTACGAATGCACCTCTGCAGCTCGTTCCCCCGCCAGCCTCGCAGCCACGTGGGCCCCACAATGAGTTTCTTCGGGTGGATCTGGAAGCCACCTGAGAACGGGAGGCAAGGGCAGAGCAGAGAGCATGAAGCCGGGCCCTGGAGAAAGCTGTTCCAAGGGCAGCTGGCCTCAACCCTCGCTGCTGGAAGAGCCGCTCGCCCGCAAGTGGGT